TCCCTGAGCGCCGCACCATGGCAGCCCCCCACTCCCTGAGCGCCGCACCATGGCAGCCCCCCACTCCCTGAGCGCCGCACCATGGCAGCCCCCTGCTCCCCAAGGGGAGGGGTTAAATGCAGAGGGTTTATTTCTCCATTGTGAGATCATTAAGGCATATACATTTTTTACATCAATTTAGTTCAGTTTCACTAGTTTAGGGAATATTTTTTAATTGCGATGTGTTTGACTTGGAGCTGAATATTTTGGTTATTAAATGATTATATTCTAATGGAAGTTGAGGTGAATTTATTCCATTTATGTGCAGATTGATCAGTTTGACCATAATAGAGCTGGATTGACTTTTACTGTTGTTCTAATACACAGCCAGTAGGGGGCGTTTGTTCAGAAACTATATATGACCCTCCTAATATTAATAAATTAACCCCCCAGCAGGGGAGCCAGTAAATCATAATTACACAATAATAGATTGAATTAATATTGCAATGAAATTAAAAGTTGTTTCTGGTATTTTTTCATAGTTGGTTTGAAGTTGGAACGATACATAGATTCATGTATCAATAATAATCTATATTTATATATGATAAATTCATCATGTTTGGTTCAAATGGTATAGAACAAAAAGTTCTAGATCCAAAAGTTCTAGATCCAACTGATTATGGGTTTAAGCTGGACTTGATTCTATGTGCAGAAATATGTATGACTGAGCTGCAAGCAGCTTAGAGGAAACATTGCCTGCAAAGACCTTTGAGGCATCTGCCTAAGAATGGCAGCGCCGCCCTCTAGTGGCCGGCGGTGACATTACAGCACACTCAGCAGAAATGGATCAAAGAGGTGGAAGGTGATCATTTATTAACATCCATACGCTGGTTAACCTTTAATCAGTGACCTCAGAACAATCAAGGAACCAATCAGAGCAGAGCTCCATGGTGACCTGGTTTGAGTCTGTGACACGACTTTCCAACATAAATCCCTTCCCACAATCTAACAAAGATAGATATTTCTAATAGATGCTGCCTTCATGCCTTCAGAGTGGTTCCTGTGTTTAATGATGGAGGATAAATTACACTGCGGCCGTTATTAGACCGCTACAGGCTTTTATTGTGAAGGGTTGGATCATAGATAATGATCATAGAATGTGCTAACCCACATGAAGGAAAGAGGCAAAGCTGCTGGTTAAACGTCTATAAAAGCTGCTGTCACTATAGCACCGCTAATACAAGGACTACATAGAGCTGTTTCCATAGAATGTGCTCTGCAGCAAAGCTGGATCGCTGCTCTAGCCTGATCAGCTGCTTTGGATTCATTAGTGGTTCAACGTCTCCTCACAGCCGCCCTGAAGCACTGATGGTGTCCTCAAACCGGCTGGAACCGGTTCTGGCAGAAGCTTCAGGTCTCCGATATCAGCTGGTGGAAATAATAATCATTTTGTATCGATGCATCGATCCAACAGCCGACCATCCGATGCATCGACACGTCTGCAACTGTAGCGACTCATTTTTTTTCCTCCGGTCTATTTTTATCCATTTGCTCCTGGGTGTAATTCTCCTCCCGTGCTGCGGTGGCGCTAAACCTATTTTGCCCTCCTACCTCGCTTCCTGGTTATACTCTTACAGCAGTGTGTTGCAGTGAGCTTGATGCAGACATTTTTGATTTATGCTCAATATTGAAGCGTGGTCTGTGCTACACGCTGTGGGTCTAGATACGGCCGAGGCGGCGAGGAAGTGGGGGCGAGTTTAGTCCGACGACGGAGGGACATGAGGGCCAAAAAGAGCGGAGATCCAGGTGGAAAAAGGGTCCCAGCGTTCTCGCGCACCTCGCTCTTCTAGCAGGTCAAACTTCACGAGTTGATTTCTGCAATTGCGGTCATAAAAACTGCAGTCAGCTAAAGTTTGGGAGAGGAGCAGCGGAGCGTCTGCGGAGAAGTGCCTTTCAGAATCTATTACGCAGGATTTTATCATTTTTCAGTGAATGAGGTTTTAATAGGAATAGGTGGAGTACAACTTTTCTACTTCTGTTATTTGCTGTTTAATCGAATCGATTGTGGTTTATTCTTGAGTATCGAAAATAATCGAATCGCCATGATGGGTGTGATTTCCACCCCTAATCAGCTGTAGATAAAGTTTCCACGCCTGTGGAGACGCAGCCAGGCTTCAGGGAACGATGGCGTGCTGATTAGAGAGAGACATGGCCGCCAGCCACCTGCTGTTTAAAGGAGCAAAGGATTCTGGGATGCAAACAAACGGTGCATTAGATTGGAACTAATTAACTGCTGACAACCTGCTTTCACTGCTGTTGCCGTCCAGTAGAGGGCGCCACTGTTAACCCCTGGCTGCAGGAGTCTGCTGTGGGATTATTTTACATCTTTAATTGCAACAAGGATGCAGAACTCTGCTAAAACGCTTCTGACTGTAGATATAAAGACTCCAGAAGCTCCTCATTGGTCAATTAAAGTCAACTGCCCCCTTCTCAGCCAAAAACCACCAATAATCTACGCCAGCAAAGGAAAAAGCACAGAGCGGTCTAACTAGAGCCGCACTGATCCAATAACACCAGCGGTCAAATAGTGGAACAGATTCTAGGTCTGATATCTGTGAAATGGGCCACATCTAGGTAGTGTATTTCAGTCATAGAGCTAGTTTAAAACTAAATTAATCTTAATTTGGAAAAAGAAAATAAAAAAGGTGACTTTGGGTTTTTGGCATAAAGCTTGAGGCTGAGCTGGAAGAGACGGAGGATTGATGCATCACTCATTCCAACATGGAAGGAAAGACGTGGCGTGTTCACGCTCTCACCGCATGGCGGCTAACGCACCATCCTGACGCCATCTTTAATCTGACACTTTCTCTGTTCAACATGTTTATATCTGTAAAGCTTTTTATTTTCCTAATAGGTTTGTTTTCATTCACTCAGTATTTAACACAGCTGGAAGTAAAATGAGTTTAAGGCGAAAATCTCCCTGAATTATGGATTAAACTATTAAAAAGAAGGAGGTGAACAGAGGGAGGAAACATGGAGGAAACCTCCAGGCGCCATCCGTGAAATCTGACACCAGCTGGCTTACTGAAACGCTGTGAAAGATGTCAGTTTCTCAGAGTTATTACACTTTTGGTTTCCGTGGAAACGGTGGTGTGAAAGCGTCGGCCTGGTGACGACCTTACAGGAGGAGATGAAAGCAGCCGACTCACCACCGTCCTCTGCTTGTTGGGTAGGTAGACTCTGATGGTGCCGCCGCCGCGGGGAACATCCTCCGGACTGGTCTCCCCCGAGGAGGAGTACGAGGAGGAGGTGGAGGACATGGTGAGAAACAGGAGGAGTGGGGGTGGGGAGGGGGGCTCAGAAATGAAGATACTGCAACCTTAGAAGAGCTGCATGCAGGGGGGGGGTCTGGATAAGTCCTCACTTCCAACCTGCAACAAACAAACAGCTTAGATTCAGAAATACTTTAATAATCCCAAAAACGAAATTACTTTAGTTACACGTTACAGTTTTATATATATATATATATATATATATATATATAA